AGAAATAACATGTAGTAAGATTTTCTTTTTGCACTCTAATGTACTGTCTTGCACACTTCCCCATCCCATTTTGGATACTAGTGTGTTTAAACATTGCATTTATTGGGGCAATGTTACCTGTTGAGCTCTCATTCACAGCCACAGACTGCATCCTTCACCCCAATGTTGTATAAATAGAAAACTTATACCATGGGTCAAAATGATTCATGCTGAGAAAGCAGAGCACAGATAAGGCTCTGAGAATGGTTCCAAGCCTATGGTTTGGCAGGAGCATAATTTCCAGTTACCAAAAAGGTCCTCAGTATTGCAGAAAAAGTCTGATCCTCTCAGGAGGAAATTGACAATCATGCAAACAGCCAAACTAACGGTTCCAGTAGTCTTCAAGACATTTTTTTTTTCTAATAGAAAGCAGTTTCTATTTGATCTTATGTGGATATATCAACTCCTTGAAGGTCTGTGAGAGCAGTGGAAACGTGCTTTTTGCTTACACAAACCCATCTGTGAGGACTCTGAGTCCTCTATGACTATAAAATGAGAGAGAAGAGGAACTGGGGATGAATGACATCAGAGATGCCAACTGACCCTAAGATAAACAAACCAATCACACAGCTCTCTGATTCAGGATATTTCCATTTAGGTCCTACGTGCTATTTTGGATTTGGATGAGGAATGGGTGAGTGCCTTAGTAGAGGTTTTTTTTTTTTTTTTTTTTGATGAGAGAAAGCAATGCCATCCTGTACGTTCCAACAAAATCTAATCATTATTGGTACTTTCTGGGGGATAGTTTAGCTCCAAGATTATAGTAGAGTGAGCTCTGGTTCTCCCAAAAGTCGAAACCCCAGAAAAGACTCAGAACCAATACAAATTTGGAGGAGAACAAACACTGAAACACTCTTGACTGTGTTTACCTTCAGCTGCGCCAAGGTCTCCATTGTGCCACCTCCACAGGGAAACTGGGGGTGGGGATTAGCTCTCATCAAAATTCCTGAGGCTTTCCCCCTGAACAAAACCGCATTAACAAAGCAGGCAGGCCAAATATGTTTGATTTGCTATATAAGACTTGATGGGATGCCTCTGGGCTGAAGAGAGAGCCAAGGAGGGGATGGTGGGATGGAGCCGATGACTTGATTTAATGCAACCTTCACTTGTTTCCAGTGATTTTTTTGCCTGGGCTGAATGCAAGTCTGTTTCCCATTCCCTTTTTCTCATTTCTCTCCCTTGTACCTGGACAGGATAATTTGGGCTGTGCATTTTAAAGCTGATAGATTTCACTGAACTATTTGGGTAAAAATAGTATCTTTTATGTGCTTTGAGGGACATTTGATTCCATGTGGTTTGAGGCAACTGAGACAACTGCGTGAAGGAACACACACTAGACACAAAAGAATACCAACTTTTGAAGGAGATGGGTCCAATTTTCTCTTACAAAACTCCAGGCTAATTGCTGTCCCTTTGTATTTCTGGCAATTGCTTGAAGGAGAACTGCCAAGTCCTGTGTCTTGATAACCTTTCCTTCCATTCCTAGTTCAATTAACCTGAGGAAACAAAAACCATGTTTCTTCACAGTACGTATTATGCACATGGAAATGAACTCGGACTACTAATGTATTAAAAGAATAGAACAGAAAGAGCCAAGATAAAACTATAATTTACCAAAAACAATGATAAATTTTCTACTGTCTAATATTTTGAATATTCTAGTTAAACTTTTACTCTTTTCTAGCAGTAATTTTATTATTTCAAAGAACTTTGGTTAGCATCTTATTTATACACATCTTATATACGAGG